GCCAGTGTCACGGTCTTGGCGTGACAATCAAGAATAGCAAAATGGGGCGACAACCAGTCCATGCCCAGAATAATGTCAAAATCCACCATACCGAGTAACAATAAATCTGCTCTGGTCTCAAAACCACGAATAGTAACCAAACATGACCGATAAACGCGGTCCACAACAAGAGAATCTCCCACAGGAGTAGAAACATAAACGGGGGCACTCAAAGAATCCCGAGGCACACCCAAATGCGGAGCAAAGTAAGAAGACACATAAGAATAAGTAGAGCCCGGATCGAATAGAACCGATGCCTCTCTGTGACAAACCAATATAATACCTGTAATGACGGAGTCGGAGGCAACAGCCTCAGTGCGAGCAGGAATACAATAATATCTGGCCCGGCCCCTCTCTCGAGGGCGACCTCTATCTCCCCGACCTCTGCCCCTAGCCGGCTGGGCAGGTGGGGTAGCAGCTGGAGCTGTGACCATGGCCTGAGAACCTTGAGGAGCACGTTGTGGCTGAGAAGTTTGTTGGGGCGCGCTCCTCCCGAGTCTGGGGCAATCCCTCACCAAGTGACGTGTATCACCACACTCGTAAAAAGCTCTGGGCGGACGTGGTGGCTGTGACTGGCTGGGACTAGGCCTGCTGGACTGACCTCTGGAAACACCCCGCGCAGGAGGCGCGCTAGAAACTGGAGGTGCATAGTAAGGCTCCTGAGGTGGAGGTGGAGCTGGAGTACTGCCGGCTGCTGGGAGAGCTGAATGTACAGGGCGACCCGAATAACCTCTGCCATATCGACCTGCTGATGGGGTACGGGCACCAGAGTAGTGACCCGACTCTCGAGACCTCTTGGCCTCCCTCTCCCCTCGCTCCCTAGCGAGCATACCCTCAATCCTCCTAGCAATGCTCACTACCTGCTGATAAGGAATGTCCATCTCCAACTCTCGAGCCATGCTAGATCTGATGGGTGGAATAAGACCCTCAATGAACCTGCGAACTCTCTCCCGAACTGTAGCAACCAAAGCCGGTGCATGCCTGGCCAACCTGGTATAACGGATAGCATACTCTGAAACGGTCATAGCACCCTGGCACAAATGCTCAAACTCTGCGCGCCATGCATCCCTGAGACTCTGGGGGACAAACTCTCTCATAAACATATCCGAGAACTGGGTCCAAGTTAGTGAAGCAGCCTCGACTGGACTGTCTAACTCATAAGTACGCCACCAATCATAGGCGGCTCCCCAAAGCTGAAAAGCAGTGAAAGAAACCCCGCTGGACTCCACTATGCCCATAGTGCGAAGAATATGGTAACACTCCTCTAGAAATCCCAAGGCATCATCTGATCCTAATCCACTGAACACTGGGGGATCATATTTGTTGAACCTCTCAAGTCTCCGCTGCTCGTCCTTTGAAGCAGCTGACCCATCCTCGGGCTGAACTGGCATTGCAGGCGGTGCCGGAATGATCTCGGGAGCCTGCTCCACCTGCACTCGCTGCTCAGGAGTGCGGACGGCGGGAGTCTGTGCTCCTCCCCCGGCCTGGGATGTGGCTGCAGCAAGAGGAAGCAACCCTGCCTGAGCCATGGTGGTGTACATGCTCATGAACTGAGCTAAAGTCTCCTAGAGCGCTGGAGTAGTAGTGGCGGTAGTAGGTGTGCCAGGTGCCTGGGCTCCGGCTGGATCTGCTGGTGGTACCTCGGCGACAGCTTGCGCAGGTGCTCTGGCTGCACCACGTGTGCGTCCTCGGCCTCTCCCCCGGCCCCGGCCTCTGGCAGATGCAGTAGGGGGCGCGGGTGCCTGATCATCTCGAGTAGCACGTGTGCTCACCATCTGTGAGAGAATAGAAGTCAGAAGTTTAGAATTGATGTCCAAAAATATCGCACGACGAGATAAGTACATACGTCTCCGTACCGATCAGCGGGACTCTAATAAACCGGCCTGTGTTCCGTGACTCCTATGAAACTAGGGCTCTGATACCAAATTGTCACGACCCCAGTTCGCTCTCAGTGAACATGTCGTGATGGCACCTAGTCCCTACGACTAGGTAAGCCTAACAATGCGGAAACAAATAATTAAACTAAACGAACTAGAAGGGTAACTGTATATAAATGCCGCTCGGCATATACAACCCAATAATGCAGAAGTCTACAATATCATCCCAAAACCCGGAAACTCACGGGAACACAAGCTAACGGAAGGTAATACACTGCTCTAACTCCAGAATGTCTAAAACAACAGTACGAAAGGAAGAGCTAACTACTAAAGCTAGAATAAGATAGAGACTCCTGGTCTACGGACGCGGCAGATGTACCTCGAAGTCTCTGCTAGGTCTCTCCGCCTCGAGGATGATACGCCTAGGTAGAGCTACCTGGATCTGCACATGAAAAACATGCGCAGAAGGGGCATGAGTACACCACAGCGGTACTCAGTAAGTGCCAAGCCTAACCTCGGTTGGGTAGTGACGAGGAAGGTCAGGGCCCTACTGAGAATAAACATAATAATAAATCTTACAACAGCATGAAATAAACGGAAATAATGAGTACAGCTATGAAGTAAGACAGGTTATACAAGGCAACAATTAACACTCGGAAAATAAGATAACACAGAGTAAAACAGCTCAATATCGATACCAACAACGAGCATCTCCCAGGATACCGTCATGTAGTCCCTTTCATCCACTATCCAAGGAGCTCCCGGGATACCGTCCCGTAGTCCACCATATGAGTATATATGAAGGATCTCCCGGATACCGTCCCGTAGTCCAACTATCAATGTGCAGGGGGATCTATCGGGAATCTAACCTACAGTCCCAAAGTAAATATGCAGGGGGATCTATCGGGAATCGAACCCGCAGTCCCAAAGTAAATATGCAGGGGGATCTATCGGGAATCAAACCCGCAGTCCCAAAGTAAATATGCAAGGGGATCTATCGGGAATCAAACCCGCAGTCCCAAAGTAAACAAACAAGGGGGTGGGGAGCTACCGGAATCCCACATCCGTAGTCCCAATGTAAATACGCAGTCAGAACAAGAAGACATCCAGAAATGAAGTTCAAATATACAAGGCAACAGGTAGTTCTAGCCTAAGATGCTTCACGTAGTACAACAAGGCAACTTGAGCAGATAGGCAATTTGGAACAACTAAGCATGCTTTTCTAGCTAACACAGTCTATAATTGCAAATAAAAATAAAGCAGATAAGAAAGAAACTCAGTCTAAATATTTAAAGTAAAACCGGATTTTGCAACAATTAGCTCAAGTACGTGCTCGTCACCTCACGTACAAGGCATTCAATTACCAATATCATATCCTAAGGGGAAAGGTCCCCCACACAAGGTTAGACAAGCCACTTACCTCGAACCGGCTGCAAAATCAACTCGAAACCACACGTTTGCCACGAGTATCCGACTCCAAATGGCCCAAATCTATTCAATACAATTACATATCGTAAATAACATCTCAAGCAACTGATTCTACAATTTAATTCAAAGCTAAGACGCGAAATTAGGTAAAATGACCAAAACGCCCCTCAGGCCAACGTCTCGGATTCGGATGAAATTAACATTTTTAGAACCCTCGTACTCTCACGAGTCTAACCATATAAAAATCTCTCAAATCGGAGGTCAAAAACCCACTCAACTTTCAATAATTAGGTCTATGAAGTTTTTTTACCCATTTTCCATTCAAAATCCGAAATTAGATGATGAAATTAACTAAAGATTGACGAAATATAACTAGAAAGGGTTAAAGAATCGTTACACAATGATCTCCTCTTCAAATCCCTCTCAAAATTGCCCTATCCCGAGCTCCAATTCAATTTTTCTAACTTTTGAAACTAAACCCTCGAAATCAATATTTCTGACCAGTGATTACCGCATCTGCGGTCAAGGGACCGCATCTGCGGTCCTGCTTCTGGGGACCATTTGTTGCATCTTCGACATTCATTAAAATACCAGCTTCCGCATCTGCGGACCTCTAACCGCAGGAGCAGTTCCGTTTCTGCGGAAATTTCACCGCGTCTACGGTTGCTGAGGATAGTCCCAATTTCGCTTCTGCGGCCCTATATGCCGCTTTTGCGGCTCCCCATCTGCGGTTCCCAGACCGCAGATGCGAAAATACCAGAAGAACAGCTGCTGCATAACTTCAACTCCAAAATTTCCTCTGTTAGCCATCTGAATTCATCCCGAGGCCCCCGGGACCTCAACCAAAGGCACCAATAACACCTAATACCTCATACAAACTTGTACCAATCCTTAAAACACCTAAAACAATACCGGAAACTCGAATTAATCAATGATCCAAGCCTAAGAACTTCAAATTCTCACAAAACACGCTTTCGATCAAAAACCTAACTAAAACACGTCTGAATGACCCGAACTTTTGCACACACATCCCAAATGACATGACGGAGCTACTGCAACTTCCGGAATTCCATTCCGACCCTCTAATCAAAATCTCACTATCGGACCGGAAACTTCAAAAGTTCAAACTTCGGCATTTCAAGCCTAAATTAGCTACAGACCTCCAAAACACATTCCGAACACGCTCCTAACCTCGAATCACTTAAAGAAGCTAACGGAACCATTGGATTTCCGTTCCGAGGCACTCTTCACACTGTTTTGACTATGGACCATTTTCCAACACTTAAGCTCTCCTTTAGGGACTATGTGTCCCAAAACTCTCCAAAAACCCAACACCGAACGTCCCGGCAAACCAAAATAGCATAAATGAACTTAGGGGAAGCGGTTAATAGGAGATCGGGGCGAAAATTCCAAAAACGACCGGCCGAGTCGTTACATATTCACTAAGATCTGAAATTAACTCACCATCTATAATAGAAAGAGAAGTGCGTGAAGTAATAGTGGTGCGAGTCGGAATGCATGTGAAATTTAAGAAGGAAAACAAAAATATAATTTTTTTGTGACAAATTGATGTGTGGCTATAATTCCATAGTTTCGTACATTATTTGCCTTGCATTTTATATGCTTTAGTGATAAATTATACTTTATTTGCACGAAATGGAGTCTATCTTATATGTAGGTGAATTGGAGATGAAAGTAGAGCAAAAAGGATACTTAAACATTGAAAGCGTGCTCAAGAACAGTGAAAAGGAGAAAGCTGGCGAAGCCAGGCCTATAGCAGGCTTTATACCTGGCGACGCCAGGCCTTTAGCTTGCGTTGGAGCTGGCGACGCCAGGCCTAGGGCGAGCTCAACGTGGCAGTAGACCGCGCGAGGCCAGAGGCCGCGCACATTCCGAGCTTTGAAGGCTTATTTCGTCTCCTGGTTAGACTACGACTTTGCCTACACGTTTAGGTCTTTTCCTACACATATAAATAGACCTAAAAACGCCACTTTTGACACACTTTAAACCTAGGGAGAGCATGGAGCCTCCGTGGAGATCCGAAATTCGACCTAAGGAGGCAAGAACATATTAGGAGCAAGGCGGAGAATTCTTCTACGAGTTTTTCACTTCCTTCTTCCTATTTCCATTATTGGTTATGAATTCTAGTATTGTAGTTGTGCATACTATTATGCATAGCTAATTTGTTATCTTGGGTTTTGATGGAACCTATTGGAGGATGATTTTCTTGTCATGTTAATATAGATTTTCCGTAGTATTTTCTTTATTTGTTCAACTACGGTATTATTGTGGTTGGTTGAAGAGCTCTCAATCGACTATGCCTATTTAGTATGTATTACTCGGGAGAGAATGCATATTTAGGTAGTTGTTGAACAACATCACTCCTAACGTATATGAGGGATCAATACGGAGGGTTTAAAGGTGGGATTAGGGATAACAAAACCTTGGTGCGATCCGAGTGAGCCGTACTTAATGCCAGCAAGCGTAATTGGTGAGAATATGTCTAGTAAATTGTGGTAGTTACTCGGGAGAGAAACACAACACTCAGAGCGCTCATGATCGGTAGAGAATATTTAGGCAAAATTATAGAAGACGTAACGGGAAGGATTCCGACAATTGAGGAAATCATAACCCTAGACCTCCTTAATCTTTTCTCCGACCCTTAGTATACCTAGTTGTAATCTACTAATTTAATTTGTTAGTTAATTAGATACAAGAATCTTATTATTTATAACATAGGAATTGTTCGAGCTTGTGTTTCTTAGCAATATTGAACTGTTGTAGTTAACCCTAAGTTCTCTGTGGGATTCGACTCCGGACTTGTAAACCGGATTATATTTGCAACGACCGCTTACTCCTTTTTATAAGGCATAGTTGGGTGTGATCAAATTTTTGGCGCCATTACCGGGGAACAAACGGTGTAGCTGTAGGCGTACATATTTCTAGGTTGCAAGTTTGAACTTATAATTTTGTTTTCTTGTATTTGATTATTTTTTTAAAAAAATTCGATTTTTTATCTGAGAGACATGGCATCTTGGAATTTTCAGACTATTGATGTTCGTAATTCTAATTTTAATTCTCCTTATGCATATTGTGAACTAAACCACCCATGGCAAAATTATCAAAATATTCCGAGAGCGAGTTATGTGCACCAACTCAATCTTATGTGTGGAATGTGTGTGACATGTGTGGTGGTCAAGATGGTCACTTTCATAGTTGTGCTTTTATTTGTTATCTTCCCCCAACCCCTTACTATGATGGTTTTACTTTTTCTGGTGAAGTTAATAGGAACAAAGAACACAGGGAGGCTGACCTGAAAGAGATCAAAGATATGTTAAAGCTGACCAAGGATATGTTAAAGTGTTTCATGGAACCATATGATAAGAAAACACTACAGATACAAATGCAAGAGGCAACTATTCACATCTTGGAAGCTCAAGCGAATAAACTAATTGAACCTTGTAAAGCGCAACAAGTTTACATTGTGGATAGTAGCCAAGAAGAGCATGAATTGGCTGCAGAAATTGCCATTATAATGGAGGAGTTGAGAGTAGAATATGACTAAACCAATCAACTAGAATTTGAGGATGCCGATATTATAGGAGAGATACTAGAGTCAACCAAGGACATTGAGGATACATATTTAATTGACTCTAGTGTCATTGGTGTTGAGGATGCTGACAGTCCAAAAGTTCACGTAGTTGAGCGCATTGGTCCACACTCCAAGCATTTTTCCACATTGTGTTTGGATGATGATACAGAAATAGAGCCATTCGAGCCACTTGAGGAGTCATGGAATAAAGAACAAGATGCCTACATTCTGGAATTCATCTTGCCAGAAAGTCGAGATTATACACCTCATCTAAAGGCTAAGAAGTGCAGAATACTACATTATTTTATTGGGCAAGTCAGATTCATTCCATCACCCCAGGAGCATAATCATAAACTTGAATCAAAACTTGGGGTCCAATTTATATGTTCGACTCGGAGGCAAAAAGTTATTCGTGTCGTGCCGCGACGTTAAATCAAGCGCTTGTTGGGAGGCAACCCACCTTTACTGCTTTCTTTTATTTATTTTTTTACTATATTTTTTTTAATTGTATTATTTTTATAGTGTTGATTTTTGATTTTCTAGGAGCATGGAAAGCAAAGCTATTGGAAGGATGCAACAGCAAACCGGACGGTTGGAACTAAGTGTGAGGTACGCGCACGAAAGACCAAGCCTGGGAGAAGTCTGAGTACCCCATGAGCTGCTAGTGCTTCGGCCTTTGGTCTACTAGGGAGTTTCTTTTACCCTCTCATTAGTTATGGTGTGCATTGGGGACAATGCACAATTTTAAGTGTGGGGTGAGGAGATTGTCCGAGTGACTTTCTATGATATTTTAGTTGTGTTAGTTTAATTAATTAATCTTTTAGATCTGAGGAATTTAAGTCTGAAAAAAATTCTTTGTAGGTAGTGTAGTAATCCCCCCTTGGTTTTTCTTTGTGCTGCATTTCTTTTCCAATGGTTTAGTTTGAACCGGGTGTAGTTAGTTTTATTTTATTTCTAGGAGTAGGAGCCAGTGTGAGATGAATTGAATTACAGTTTTATCTCCTGACTTTGTTATGCCTTGAGAATAGTGAGTACTCTGGTTGTGACTCTTAGGCTCAATGTTTGACTCTAATATACCTTAAATCGTAGATTCTTATGTTTTGCTTGACTGCTTTGACTGGAGTGTCGTGATAATAACCAATTTTGAGTGAGTTATGTGCCATGTCTGTGTGAAGTTTGTATGTATTCAGTGCATTGCATTTGATGTCTACAACTTGCCACGTGTGTGTACAAAACGAAATAGTAGTTTTGTTCAGTCTTGAACGTGATATAGGTGTTTCTTTGTTGAGCCAGATATGTATATTTTACCCGCCTAATTGTTATGTATCGTAGTTAACCCCTTTGAGCCTATAATCCTGTTTCTTTGGTAACCACATTACAAGCCGTACGCCTTGTTTTGAATCGACCAAATATTTGAACCTTGTCACCTCTCATGAGCACTTGAATTTTGATGAATTATGAAAAAGTTAAAGTGTGGGGTGGTGGGGTGGCTTTTGAGTGGAACAATTGAAATAAGGAGAAAGGTGCACCGTTTTGAAAAAAAAAAGAATTCAATAAAAGCCACCTGAAGAGAAGGACAAAAAAAGAGAAAAAAAAAATAGTTGTATTGTATGAAAAATAATTCTTGATGGTGGTGGCTAGTGATATACTGGTGCTTAAAGAAGTATGGGGTAATATAAATTGAAGTGAAGGTGGAGTTTTGGTTTGACATAAATATAGGCTTGAATGTTAAAGTATATGTATTAAAGTGCTTAGGGAGGTGTAGTCACTCTTATATCCAAATGTATCCTACCCGACCCGTAGCCTACATTAGAACCAATTAAATTCCTACTTGATCCAAGACTGAATGAGCTCGATTAGGAGAGTAGTAGACTACGGCCAAGCCTATGTCGCATCTTTTGTTGCATATGATGTTATTTCTGAGAGTGAGTGAATTCTTTCTATCTTGAGTTCCTAATTGTTCTTAAATTTTATTGTGTATGGCACTACTCTCTTTTTTTTGTGTGAGGGCACGTGATTCATGAAGGAAAGGTAATGTCATTGACCTCCATGTTAGAGTAAGTGAGTGAGTTGTGAATAACGCAGGGTACTTGCGAGTCAAATCTTGAGGTGAAGATGTTACACCTTGGTGCTTAGACTATTTTAAACATTCTTGGTGTAATGAGTTAAGGGAATTGCTTAAAAAAAGGTTGTGTCTATAAGTGTAGTTTTATTGCTCGAGGACGAGCAATGTTTAAGTGTGGGGTATTGACGTGTGGCTATAGTTCCATAGTTTCGTACATTACTTGCCTTGCATTTTATATGCTTTAATGATTAATTAGACTTTATTTGCGCGTAATGGAGTCTATTTTATGCGTAGCTGAATTGGAGATGAAAGTAGAGCAAAAGGGATACTTAAACGTTGAAAGCGTGATCGAGAACAGTGAAACGGAGAAAGATGGCGAAGCCAGGCCTATAGCAGGCTTTATACCTGGCGAAGCCAGGCCTATAGCAGGATTTATACCTAGCGGCGCCAGGCCTTTAGCTCGCGTTGGAGCTGGCGACGCCAGGCCTGGGGCGAGCTCAAGCTGGCGGTAGACCTCGCGAGGCCAGGTTCGAGGCGCGCACATTTCGAGCTTTGAAGGCTTATTTTGTCTCCTAGTTTGACCAGGACTTAGCCTACACGTTTAGGTCTTTTTCTACACATATAAATAGACCTAAAACGCCACTTTTGACACACTTTAGACCTAGAGAGAGCACGAAGCCGCCGTGGAGATCCGATATTTGATCTAAGGAGGAAAGAACACATTAGGAGCAAGGCGGAGAATTCTTCTACGAGTTTTTCACTTCCTTCTTCATATTTCCGTTATTGGCTATGAATTCTAGTATTGTAGTTATGGATACTATTATGAATAGCTAATTTGTTATCTTGGGTTTTGATGGAACCTATTGGAGGATGATTTTCTTGTCACATTAATATAGATTGGCTGTAGTATTTTCTCTATTTGTTCAACTACATTATTATTGTGGTTGGTTGAAGAGCTCTCAATCGACTATGCCTATTTAGTGTGTATTACTTGGGAGAGAGTGCATATTTAGGTAGTTGTTGAACAACATAACTCCTAACGTATATGAGGGATCGACACGGAGGGTTTAAAGGTGGGATTAGGGATAACGAAACCTTGGTGCGATCCGAGTGAGCCTTACTTAATGCCAGCTAGCGTAATTCGGGAGAATATGTCTAATAAATTGTGGTAGTTACTCGGAAGATAATCACAACACTTAGAGCACTCATGATCGGTAGAGAATACTTAGGCAAAATTATTGAAGATGTAGCGGGAAGGATTGCGACAATTGGGGAAATCATAACTCTAGACCTCCTTAATCTTTTCTCCAACCCTTAGTATCCCTAGTTGTAATCTACTAATTTAATTTGTTAGTTAATTAGATACAAGACTCTTAATATATATTACATAGGAATTGTTCGAGCTTGCGTTTCTTAGCAATATTGAACAGTTGTAGCTAAGCCTTAGTTCTCTATGAGGTTCGACTCCAGACTTGTAAACCGGATTATATTTGCAATGACCGCTTAGTCTTTTTTATAAGGCATAGTTGGGCGTGATCAAAATTTTGGCTTGCCGGGGAACTAACGGTGTAGCGGTAGGTGTACATATTTCTAGGTTGTAAGTTTGAACTTTAATTTTTTTTCTTGTATTTGATTATTTTCTTTAAAAAAATTTTGATTTATGATCTGAGAGACATGGCATCTCTGAATTTTGAGAGTATTGATGTTGGTAATTCTACTTTTAATCCTCCTTATGCATATTGTGAAGAAAACCACCCTTGGAAAAATTATCAAAATATTCCGAGAGCGAGTTATGTGTACCAACTCAATCTTATGTGTGGAATGTGTGGAATGTGTGTGATATGTGTTGGTCAAGATGATATCTTTCATGGTTGTGCTTATATTTCTTATCTTCCCCCAACCCCTTACTATGATGGTTTACTTTTTCTGGTGAAGTTAATAGGAACAAAGAACCCAGGGAGACTGACCTGAAGGAGATCAAAAATATGTTAAAGCTGACCAAGGATATGTTAAAGTGTTTCATGGAACTATATGATAAGAAAACATTGGAGATACAAATGCAAGAGGCAACTATTCATAACTTGGAGGCTCAAGCGAATAAACTAATTGAACCTTGTAAAGCGCAACAAGTTTACATTGTGGATAGTAGCCAAGAAGAGCATGAATTGACTGCAGAAATTGCCATTATAATGGAGGAGTTGAGACTAGAATATGACTAAACCAATCAACTAGAATTTGAGGATTTCGATGTTGTGGAAGAGATACTAGAGTCAACCAAGGACATTGAGGATACATATTTAGTTGACTCTAGTGTCATTGGTGTTGAGAATGCTGACACTCCAAAAGTTCACGTAGTTAAGTGCATTGGTCCACACTCCAAGCATTTTTCCACATTGTGTTTGGATGATGATACAGAAATAGAGCCATCCGAGCAACTTGAGGAGTCAAGGAATAAGGAACAAGATGCCTACATTCTGGAATTCATCTTGCCAGAAAGTCGAGATTACACACCTCATCTAAAGGCCAAGAAGTGCAGAATACTACATTATTTTATTGGGCCAGTCAAATTCATTCCACCACCCCAGGAGCATAATCATAAGCTTGAATCAAAATTGGGGTCCAATTTATAAGTTCGACTTGGAGGGAAAATGTTATTCGCGTCGTGCCGCGACGTTAAATCAAGCGCTTGTTGGGAGGCAACCCACCTTTACTGCATTCTTTTATTATTTTTTTTAGTATATTTTTTTTAATTGTATTAATTTTATAGTGTTGATTTTTGATTTTCTAGGAGCATGGAAAGCAAAGCTATTGGAAGGATGCAACAGCAAACCAGACGGTTGGAACTAAGTGTGAGGTACCCGCACGAAAGACCAAGCCTGGGAGAATCTGAGTACCCCATGAGCTGCTAGTGCTTTGGCCTTTGGTCTACTAGGGAGTTTCTTTTACCCTCTCATTAGTTATGGTGTGCATTGGGGACAATGCACAATTTTAAGTGTGGGGTGAGGAGATTGTCTGGGTGACTTTCTATGCTATTTTAGTTGTGTTAGTTTAATTAATTAATCTTTTAGATCTGAGGAATTTAAGTCTGAAAAAAATTCTTTGTAGGTAGTGTAGTAATTCCCCCTTGGTTTTCTTGTGCCGCATTTCTTTTCCAATGGTTTTGTTTGAACCGGGTGTAGTTAGTTTTATTTTTTTTAGGAGTAGGAGTCAGTGTGAGATGAATTGAATTGCAGCGATATCTCTTGACTTTGTTATGCCTTGAGAATAGTGAGTACTCTGGTTGTAACGCTTAGGCTCAATGTTTGCCTCTAATATAAGTACCTTAAATCGTAGATTCTTAAATTTGCTTGATTGCTTTGACTGGAGTGTCGTGATAAAACCAATCCTGAGTGTGTCATGTGCCATGTCTGTGTGAAGTTTGTATGTATTCAGTGCATTGAATTTGATGTCTACAACTTGCCACGTGTGTGTACAAAACGAAATAGTAGTTTTGTTCAGTCTTGGACGTGATATAGGTGTTTCTTTGTTGAGCCAGATATGTATATTTTACCCGCCTAATTGTTATGTATCGTAGTTAACCCCTTTGAGCCTATAATCCTGTTTCTTTGATAACCACATTACAAGCTGTACCCCTTTGTTTGAATCGACCAAATATTTGAACCTTGTCACCTCTCATGAGCACTTGAATTTTGATGAATTATGAAAAAGTTAAAGTGTGGGGTGGTGGGGTGGCTTTTGAGTGGAACAATTGAAATAAGGAGAAAGGTGCACCGTTTTGAAAAAAAAAAGAAGTCAATAAAAGCCACCTGAATTGAAAGAAAAAAAAAAGAGAAAAAAAATAGTTGTATTGTATGAAAAATAAGTCTTGATGGTGGTGGCTAGTGATATACTGGTGCTTAAAGAAGTATGGGGTAATATAAATTGAAGTGAAGGTCGAGTTTTGGTTTGACATAAATATAGGCTTGAATGTTAAAGTATATGTATTAAAGTGCTTAGGGAGATGTAGTCACTCTTATATCCAAATGTATCCTACCCGACCCGTAGCCTACATTACAACCAACTAACGTCCTACTTGATCCTAGACTGAATGAGCTCGATTAGGAGAGTAGTACACTACGGGCAAGCCTATGGTGCATCTTTTGTGGCATATGATGTTATTTCTGAGAGTGAGTGAATTCTTTTTATCTTGAGTTCCTAATTGTTCTTAAATTTTATTGTGTATGGCACTACTCTCTTTTTTTGTGTGAGGGCACGTGATTCATGAAGGAAAGGTAATGTCATTGACCTCCATGTAGAGTAAGTGAGTGAGTTGTGAATAATGCAGGGTACTTGCGAGTCAAATCTTGAGGTGAAGATGTTACACCTTGGTGCTTAGACTATTTTAAACATTCTTGGTGTAATGAGTTAAGGGAATTGCTTAAAAAAAGGTTGTGTCTATAAGTGTAGTTTGATTGCTCGAGGACGAGCAATGTTTAAATGTGGGGTATTGATGTGTGGCTATAATTTCATAGTTTTGTACATTATTTGCCTTGCATTTTATATGCTTTAACGATAAATTACACTTTATTTGCGCGTAATGGAGTCTATTTTATGTGTAGGTGAATTGGAGATGAAAGTAGAGCAAAAGTGATACTTAAACATTGAAAGCGTGCTCGAGAACAATGAAACGGAGAAAGTTGGCGAAGCCAGGCCTATAGCAGGCTTTATACTTGGTGAAGCTAGGCCTATTGCAGGCTTTATACATGGCGATGCCAGGCCTTCAGCTCGCGTTGGAGCTAGCAACGCCAGGCCTGGGGCGAGCTCAAGCTGGCGTTAAACCTCGCGAGGCCAGGTCTGGGGCGCGCACATTCCGAGCTTTGAAGGCTTATTTCGTCTCCTGGTTTGACTAGGACTTGGCCTACATGCTTAGGTCTTTTCCTACACATATAAATAGACTTAACACGGAGCCGCCGTGGAGATCCGAGATTCGACCTAAGGAGGCAATATCACATTAGGAGCAAGGCGGAGAATTCTTCGACGAGTTTTTCACTTCCTTCTTCCTATTTCGATTATTGGTTTCGAATTCTAGTATTGTAGTTATGCATACTATTATGAATAGCTAATTTGTTATCTTGGGCTTTGATGGAACTTATTGGAGGATGATTTTCTTATTATGTTAATACAGATTTGCTGTTGTATTTTCTCTATTTGTTCAACTACGTTATTATTGTTGTTGGTTGAAGAGCTCTCAATCGACTATGCCTATTCAATGTGTATTACTCGGGAGAGAGTGCATATTTAGGTAGTTGTTGAACAACATCACTCCTAACGTATATGAGGGATCAATACAGAGGGTTTAAAGGTGGGATTAGGGATAACGAAACCTTGGTGCGATCCGAGTGAGCCGTACTTAATGCCACCTAGCATAATTCAGGAGAATATGTCTAGTAAATTGTGGTAATTACTTGGGAGAGAATACTTAGGCCAAGTTATAGAAGACGTAGCGGGAAGGATTCCGACAATTGGGGAAATCATAACTTTAGACCTCCTTAATCTTTTCTCCAACCCTTAGTTATCCTAGTTGTAATCTACTAATTTAATTTATTTGTTAATTTGATACAAGAATCTTAATATTTATAACGTTGGAATTGTTCGAGCTTGTGTTTCTTAGCAATATTGAACAGCTGTAGCTAAGCCTTAGTTCGCTGTGGGATTTGACTCCAGACTTGTAAACTGGATTATGTTTGCAACGAGCGCTTAGTCCTTTTTATAATGCATAGTTCAGCGTGATCACAAATGAAGATCATTAGAAGAACGAACTGCTTGTATACCAAGAAAGTAATAAAGATCACCTAAGTCTTTCATCGCAAATTGTCTAGAGAGACGACTAATTAATCAAGAGGATAAGATGGTTGCCAGTAAGAATGATGTCATCAACATAACGTAATAAAATAAGAATACCAGACAAAAAATGGTGAACCGACATGGAAGCATCGAATTTGTTGCAAAAAAACATGAGCCAGGAGAAAATGAACTAAAGCGGTAAAGCAATCATGTGGTGCATGCTTCAAACTATAATGCACTTTGGTTAGTTTGCAATCATGTTGAGGATTATGATGAGTAAAACCTAGGGGTTGTTTCATAAAATTTCCTCACTAGCAATACCATGCAAAAAAGCTTTACTGACATCAAATTGCCGAATAGGCCAAGTAAAAAACAGTAAGGGAGAGTACAATACGAACCGTGGCAGTGTGGGCAACATACTAAAAGTTTTATGATAATCAATGCTAGGTTGTTGATGAAATCCCTGTCCTACAAGTGGTGCCTTGTATCGCTCAACTAATCCATCTGAGTTATATTTAATACGATAAACTCATTTACAACCGGTAAGTTCAAGCGAGGTTGAAAAAGAATAAGAACCCGAGTATTATTTGCTAAAAGTGCATTAAAATCATCTGCCATGACATGTTGCCCCTTTGAACTTTTCACTGCCTAAGAGAAACAAGAAGGTTCAATTTCTAGAACAGTAGTGTTCAAAGAAAATATTTGTTTTTGTTTAGAAACATCAAACCTAGAGCGAGTTTGTATTAAATGAGCTAGAGATACTGAAGTAGGAGCGGAAGAAGTGCTAGTTGGCAGTGAGGAAGGTGCAGGCGTAGAGAGAACACAAGAGCAATACTCGGTAGAAGGATCTATGATGGACACATGATCAGTGGATTTTAATGTAGAGTTTAATGTAGAGCACGAGGGAGAAATACTTGAGGGAGGGGGAGAAGACAACTTAGAAGTGGACACACTAGAGCTAAAGTGGGCATGTATCTGCAAAGGAGATAAAGGTGTAGTAACTATAAGAATCTCAGGAGAGCAGTCGGATGAAGAAACAATAGAGGAACGAGACAATTGAGGATATGGAAAAAACTAATCCATGAAGGACAACATGTGGATTGATATAAACACGATCAACTGTAGGATCGTGGCAATGGTATCCTTTATAATTATAAGCATAACGTAGGAAAATACATTGAACAAAACATGGATTAAGCTTATGAGATACTTGAGCGGATATATTTGAAAAACATTCATAACCAAAAATTCGAAGAAAGTTGTAATCAAAAGGTATATGAAAAATCTTTACAAATGAAGAAAGTCCTTTCAAAATAAGAGTAGGTAATTTTGTTGACGGTATAAAGTATAAACAACATAAAAAGTAGCATCAACCCAAAATAGAGATGGTAAGTGAGCATCCGTAAGGATAGTATGCACTATATCGATTTTGTGTTGATGCTTCGTTCAGCCACCACAGTTTATGAGGATTTTGCTGGCTAATTTGATACCATAATAGTCTTTAATAAATGGCTCAATGAACAGAGAGCCAGTATTGCTATATTTACAGTAATATGGGTGTATACAAGAATAAATATATTATCCACAAAACATAAGTATATGTTCATCACATATATGGGTTAAATACAAATATTGCTATGAGATAAACCCTCAGAGTCCTAATAGTAAGATGCAAAAACATCGCTATGCCTTTATAGAATATTTTCAAATAACTGTTACACAGTGAGATTATTACAAATATAAAGGGAAAATTGGCTCCCTGGTTATTTCATAAACACAGTTCATATATATTCCCTTTCTATTCCAGGTTTTCAACCATTTGGAGGAATGGTGCCCTGGATCAATGAATGTTGTATATCCAAACATGAAGCTTATCTAAATTCAAAATTATATCGAGATGCTGTACAATTTCTTCAAATCCAATAACAGAATCAGCAGCCCTCGTGTCTGAAATCAGAGCTTGCAGAAAAGCAAGGAAATTTTTTCTGAAAATGATATTCCTGTAATCACGTATTTCTGCATTTATAGTGAATTGATTTTGGTTTCACTTTGTATCCAACTCCCTTTAATAATCTCATCTGCAAATAGCTTCGACGGATAACTTCTTTGAAGTATTTGGACACGGATCTCCTCCAAAAACTTCAGGCACAACATTTACTGAACAAGACTGCCGTCCAATGCAATTCTGTGATATCCATTTGAAAGTTAGCAAAACATAGGAATATTTATCACGAACACCTTTAACGTTGAATCTTTCGTTTAGTCACGAAGCAAAATAAAGAATATTGAATCAGGAAACCAGGTAATTGCAGTCATCACTAAGCACTTTGGTCTCAGAAAACTTTGAAGTAATTACATAATGTAAAAACAATGACACACCTTTTCAAATGCATCATATGACTTGCGAGCATGGCAGGTACCCTCGCGGAAGTTCCCACAAGTTCCTTGTGGCACTCCGTAACTAGCAAACTGTATTTTTGAGATTTTCTTCCCATCTGGACACCACAAGTGAGCTTTCGGATGCATATTACCAGATTTTCCAGAGCCCACCGTTCGCCAGTTTTTTAGAGTTGGCTGCCCATCAACAATATCAGCACAAACTCTGGCAGTTGCTCTTCTAACCAAAGAAATTCTGGTTGGAACACCACCCCATTCTTCAAAAACTACCAACAGATTTCCACTTGGTTTCAGCCATGATCTTGGGACATGATACCTAAAATCATCAGTTTCACAATTCATTTGCTTTCAGACAACAAGCTCAAGTTATGGTACACTTTTTTTCAAAGCTTCTAGTACTGTTCTTCTCTTCAGATTGCACCTTGAGGAAGTAGGCTAATTTACTCTATGGTCAATCTTGTTAGCTTTTAAAAGCATGTTTGATTCTAGTGAATATGACGCATAAATGTATCCCCTCAATTAACAAAGTAGGAAAATCGGTGTAGCCCATAATCCAACCCAAAATTTACTGGAAACAATATAAATCCTTACCATCTTTGAGAAGGCTGTCCACAGTTTGTCTGACATTTCTTTTCAGTGTACTCTCCAGCATAAATGCATTCCCCACAGTGGCCCTTTGCTATGTATCCAGGCCAGTGGCGGCCTACACCTTCACCATTTACCCATATTTGACCTTTTCCCATACTTACCATGTCTAACGCTACTGGATCATTTCCTTCAGGTGCATCAAATGTAGCCTGGAAAATCTTTGGTATGTTAACTGTGCTATTTTATTCAAGTCGTAAAACTGATAAACCATGTCCAATGGACACGTTTAATGTGATCAAAAATTGTATCATAATGTTGACATTTACATTAGGAATTTACCTTGTACCAAGTGAGGGGCTGCCTTTGAGCCAAAAGTGAACCTTCAACCCATTCAACAGAGGAACCTCCAGTTGAGGTATGAAAACTTAATGATTCACCTTTTAGACCAACCTGCAGACATAAAACCATAGATGCTTCACACCTCCATTCTCTTGGTTTCTCCCACATTATAATATCTCTTCGAGAAAAAGGAAAACAAAGAAAATTTTGTCCTAGATGGGAGTGGTATCTATAGTTGTCTATTCAAAGAAACATAACGCAAAATTTCTTGTTATCTTGGATGACTCTGGCTTCTAGATTTAGACAAAACACTTGGTAGAAAAGAGGGAGAGTTATTAGGGAAGAAACCTTGTAAGACCATCTTTGTATTGTCAAGTCTCTTGTCCCCTCATTGAGACCACTCAATGTAACTGGACCAAGAACTCCAGTATTCCATGTCTCAAAGTGCAAACCAACATTCTGAAATGCATTTACTAGCATCAAAACCATGAAAGTTTAAATTCTCCTTTTAAAGAGAATAGAGAAACATGAAGTAGAACTAACCGGGAGACCAACAGCAACACTGAGCAAAGAAATCTTGTTAATACCAGCTCTTAGTTTCACATTGCCACTATATGTCAGTTTTGGATTATCTAATCCCCCATAAACAGTTCCTACCACAAGGTAAAG